CAGCGTCCTGGCTTTGCGTTCCAGAGTCAGTAGCTGAAAAAACGGGGGGGGGGTGAGGGGTTGGATCTGGAATGGGGTCTCCACAGTTCGTGGGGACCCCCGGAAGCTGCCGGCACCGCGACTCGCAGGCGAGCGCCTTGGGGTTTTGATGGATGACACGGGCCCATCCGTTGCCACGTTAGTTTGTTGCTTGTTAAGAGCTCTGCCTTAAACCGGGCAAGCGAGCCATCCCCCATTAAAGACACCACTGTTTTTCACTCTTGACTCAGATTTCCCCGATTTCCCATAATTGAGGCCCAGAAGAGCAGGTCAGCTGCTAGGCCTGGGGCTGGAGTTGAGGGCGGGAGGTGTCTGGCGGGGGGAGCCTGGGGTCCTTCCCCTGAGTGGCGTTTCACCTGCGCGAAGGTGGACGCGAGGAATCCCCGGTCCTGTCCTCACAGGGCCCCTCAGGGCCGCACCTCGCAACACAGTGTCACTCACGGCTTCAAGCCGGGCAAGGCCAGGCCTGGAACAGTCTACAAAGTAACAATTAACAATTAAAAGCAACAGCCCCCATGCGTAGGGCTCCAGAGGTGCTGAGAATAGGTGATTTCAAACAAGTGATACCCACATGCAAAGGGCCACCAGTGGGAAGGCTCAGAGCCCCCTTTTCTCCCATGGCCGGGGCACGCACCGAGCCCGCCGCGTTTCTAGGGAGACAATCCATTTCTCCTTTGACCAGAGGGAAAGGAATCATTACGACGTGATTAGTGGCTTCAGTTGGGTGAAAAACAGCAGTCCCGGGGCAGGCGGCGAGCACTAGGGGTATTAATTACCCCACACTCGCTGGCAACGCAGTTCCGTCAGCAACTTGGCCACCGGTAAGCTGCGGCTTTTGCTGCGAGTGGGCGAGTTCTCGGTTGGAGACAGGAGGGGGAGAAGCGGTGTCAGCTGAAATGCGTCTCCTCACTTTTCTCTGACAAACCAAATTCATTCCTTATGTAATTGATAACGGCCTTGGCCAATTATTTCACACATTACAATACACAGAGGCCCCCTTTACAGGTTTTGCAGGGCTGTAATTAGCTATGCTAATATCCCCTTTATTGGCCCTAATATTGCTCAACACCTTTTGCCATCCCGGAACCCACGAGAGCCCCGTGGCCTGTCAGGACCGCTGATTATTGAGAAGGATAGCTTTAATCAAACATAATTGCAGTTAATTTTTCTCTCCTGCTCTCTGTTGCCAGCGCCTAATGCCACGGACTCCTTGATATTCCATTAAATTACAATTAAACAGCCTCCTTTGTTTCTGATCGTCCTGAACAACACCACAAAGTTCTGGAGCGGCTTACAGGAGCGCTGTTTGGTCCTAATTGCCCGCTCGCTCACAAAGGGCCAATTTGCACAATGCCCATGTAGAATTTAAACAGTTCATAATGTAATGGATATTACACAGGAGCCTAACACTACAATTAAAATGATTTTCATCAGATAGGGAAGCTCTGGTTAATCAGCTTCATAAAAGTAAATATAAATGAACTAATTCATAGCTTAAACACACAGATACGGAGCCGACTTTGAGATTAGTTACTGCGGCGGGGGCCGGCCCTTCCTTGTGGGATACCTGCAGCGGCCCCACTTAAAATGCCCATCCCGTTACGCTCTTTAGGCCCTTGGTTCTGCCACGCAGTGCATGGGCACTGCCCGAGCGGATTCTGACGCGGACGCCACCAGGGCCAAACTTCCAACTTCCCTCCGTGGGGACAGCTGTGTCCACGGCCTCTGTTTGGCGCAATCGGGTCACTGTCCCTGCAGAAGAAGGGAGGGCGGGCCTGGGAATTTCTAGCTCCAACTGAAGGTCTCAGTTGCTGGACCCAGCGGGTGCTCCTGAGTTCGAGGGACATCCCCCAAAACCCCCTCTTCTAAGCGCCAGCGAGATTGCCCAGGTGGCCACCTCTCCTTGTCCGCAAACGCTCCGAAAGAGGAGACCCGTCTTCGGGAGCGATGAGATCACACCTTTCCCCCTTCTCACCGCAGCTGAGAACTCCCCAGGATTCTGCGTGTCGTTTCTGAGCAGAATGTGACGGGGGACTTTCGACGTGGTGTGCGGTGTGCCCGGAGCCACTGCCTCCCCTCTTGCCCGGGAGAAACAAGTAAATAAAGCCCATATTTCAAGCTTGATTTACTCTGGTACCTACTGTGAAAGATGATGACTCTTTAGGGAAATAAAGACAGGGTCAGGGAATTAGTGTACATAATGGTCATTTTGATGACGGGCCAACAGCTGCAAAAGGAAACACACTGTACACAATTAAGCGTAATGTACTAATGACAGGTTAGGGTTTTTATCGCCTCCGCCATCGAGCAGCAGATCCACGCTTAGCAGTAATAAAGAGTTTATTGGTGTTCACGCCAAAGATTTTCTGACATAGGAAAGATTTTTCCTTCCCTAACAAGAGTGTTCAATCCTTTGTGTCCCGGCCTCTGGAAGGGAGATATGTAAACGACTGTCAGGTATTTCTTAGGGGAAAAAAAAGCCCATTAAAGGGTAATTGAGGCAAGGGCGAGACTCCCGTGTTGGGCCCCCGTTTTTCTCACCCCCCTCCCCAAATACCGTCACAGGGCGTCGGGTGAAACTGTGCCAGGCCTGCGGTCAGTGGCCAGACCAGGCCAGACTGAGCCGTCCACCGTCCATCTCATGGCGGCTCCACTGAATCCTTGAGCACGTTGTAGCCAATACGAGGGTGACAAGTAAGCACAGGGCTCCCCTCCTCGCCGCTGGAGCTGCCTGTCTGTCCCTGGTTTATGTCCTTGGGACTAGAGTTGTTCAAGGGATCCCGCTCCCCGGGGCCACACACTCCAGACCTCTCCCAAGTCCTGACATTGTGTGTGAGATGCTGGGATAGGAGCCTACCCAAAATAAGCGCGCGTGTGAGTGTGTGCACCTGCCCCGGAGTCGACCCCCGAGAGTACCCAGCACCCAACTCTGTTGGGCTACTTTCCGACCCTGACGACGGTGGAGGCCCCGCTGGTCAGAGGGCCCCCAGCCCCCGCTCTGTGCTCTCCGAGGTACAGGGGTGAGCTGGCTAAAAAGACATCGCGGCGTCCTGAGGCGCCTCCTCCGAGGGGGAGCCTTGCCCATCACAGGAGCTCCCGGGGACGGCTCCGCGTGACGAGCCGCTCCTCGGGCAGGCGCCTGCTCGGGAGATTAGCCGGCTGGTAATGGGCGGCATAATTGCGCCGTGCGGCTGTCCCCGAAGTGAAAACCTAATTGCCTGAGAGGACGATAACTTTGTGACGCCCTCACCTTGTTAGGCCCTTTCTGATGCAGTTCAAGTGCGGAGTGGCCGCAGGTGCGCCTAATTTACCTCGCCGCAGCGCGCGGGGTTTAATTGCGGTGGTTGTTAGGAAAAATTGGTGGGTGGAATTTCAAGTGACTGGCTGTGCTGATGGCAGATGGTGTTCAGAGGCACCGTGAGCTAAAGTGTAGGTGAGGTGAGTTAATAAAAGATGTAAATTCCGGCCTAAAATAGCGAGGCCGCGCCATATGTAAGAACATTTAATTGAGGGGCCGCGGTTCTCCTGCCGGGATGAAAAGCGGTCCGGGGTCTGGTGGGCGTGAGTCAGGGACGGACCTCAGTCTGCAGAGGCTTTCCATTTTCGGATGTGACGCTCATCCACAAGGAGCCCTGAGCCTCAGGTTGAGTTCAAGGAAATCATGTGAAACCTTCTAGAAAGGAACCATCCTCATGTGGGGCAGGCAGTATTTGGAAAGAAACCAGAGAAGATCCCCGTGTAGCCTTGCTGGGCGGGGCGCTCAGACACCCAAGGAGAGCTCAGGTGGATGTGGCCTTCTCGAGATGAGGCACAGGGGTGCAAGGACAAGGCCCCACCGTCCCTGTGGTGTTATAGCCGGGCTCCCAGTGTCTGTACCGCAAGCCAGAGCACCCCCGTTTGTCACTGAGCATGCAGGGACGGGGTGGACATGCTGATGTTTTGGTCACAGCATCTCAACACACTGTCAGGACCCTGAGTCTTCATGCCTCACCATGCAAGGGCAGGTCTCGGCGGGAGTCATCAGCCCCGGTCTGGTCCAGGACTGGACCTGCTTCTCCCCTCTCTGCCCGAGCACGGGTGTCATTGTCATATCAAGAGGCGTTGATGACACCCTTACAGACACACGTAGGCCTTGCATGGAAGTCGTGGTGGTTCCTAAAACAACACCCCAAATCCTTCCTTTTCTTAAGAGTTGTACCTGTTGTAACTTTTTAAAAAGCACCTTGGCCCTGCACGTTACGGCTCAGTTGGTTGAGTGTCGTCCTGTACACTGAAAGGTTTCGGGTTCGATTCCTGGTCAGGGCACATGCCTGGGTTGCTGGTTCAATCCCTGGTTGGGGTGTGTACAGGAAAGCAACCGATCGATGTTTCTCTCCCTCTCTCTAAAATCAATAAGCATGTCCTTGGGTGAGGAGTTTTAAAAATTGCATCTTCAAAAGTGTTTACATAGGCGGGGATGTCCTCTGGGGTTAGGGCTGCTGGAGAGAGCAGCGGGTGCCGTGGAACTTGAATTTTGGATAAACAATGAATAATTTTTCAGGACAGGTATGTCCCATAGCACACCTCTCTTAAAAAAAATGTTGTTTACCCAAAATTCAAGTTTAACTAGGCATCCTGTGGTTTTATTTGCTGACGTTGGCAGTCCCCCCGGGTTGGACGTTTCCCTAATGGTTCAGGGCCAGTCCTGCAAAGATCCAGGCAGGAAATGGCCAACCCAAGTCACCGCTGTTCTAATAAAACTTGGAACCCATCATGTTAAGACAAATGTAAGTCACTATGAAGATCTTCTACGCCGGCTGTCAGACCCAGGCGCCTGCATCACCTCACCCCGCAGGGCAGCTAGCAGTTGGGTGTGTGGGGCAGCCTCCTCCAGGCCCCATGCAAGAGTGTCTTTCAAAAAAGCGTCTGTCTCTTGTCTGATAACCCTAACACATATCCATTTTTTTTTTGTATTTTTGTAGATTCTTTCTAAAGTTTTTCCTCAAGTGCAATCAGAACTGTCTGAAGAATGCAGGGAACCCTCGAGATATGCGGAGATTCCAGGTACACGCTCCTCAAAAACCCCCATACCCTGGGCCTGCCTTTTAAAATGAAGTTTGATTCTCTGATGATGCAATTGTTCAGAACACGATCGTTAGTTCTCAAGGGCTTGGGAGTAAAACCGGAATTGGTTCATTGGATACAATCCTTAAGTCAGATGCTTTAAACAGGATGTGTCCTCTTCAGTATTCGGGATTCACTGTGTCCATTCATTTATTTCTGGCCCACAAGGAACTGAAGCAGCTCTGAGGACATGGCCTACGTTTCTGCCCCGATTGCCAGGTGTGCTCTAGGGCGGGCACCCAGACATCAGTTAGCAGAGCTGTAGATTAAATTGGGGCTCTCTTTCCCTGCAGCCATGGTAGGCCTAATGGGTGTAATTCATATTTGAATTTTTCCAAATAGGGTCCTGTTAACATTAGCATCTAAATTAGCCTGTTTCTCTGTCATCCGTGGCTGTTCATACTTGATGGACTAGAATTGGGAGCCCGTGCCCAAGATCTTTTAGGACTCAATTGGTTTCGATCGATTTTTCCTGGGGGAGAGGGGTACACTCAAGACCTGCCCTCCTCACGGAGGGAGCCTTACCTGTTGGACACTGGCCTCTACAGATGCCAGGACGTTTCCTGGCTTAGCTGCCCTCCCCCGAGGCCTGACGATTTCTTGCCTCCTCAACTCCTCGCCCAGTTCCTGGACCGCTCCTGGGCCCGGGATGACTCAGTCTCTGGTTCTCGCCCAGGAGGACTTCATGTCCAGGAGAGAGGTGGAGAGCTGGCTGCCTTCAGGGATGAGTGATGAACAGTTTTCTTGCCTTAGTTTGTGGAGGATTAGGAGGTTACTTCGGGGCGAAGGGTGCTCTGTGGACATGATGGATCATTTTGCTGATTTTAGTTGTAAAAATATTCTGGGCTGGGTCACAAACCTGCTGCTGGTCCCTACCCATCAGAGAAGAACTTGGCAGCTAATACAAATGACAGCTAGATTGGACAAGTTGACCATCAAACCGCTCAAGGTGCTTTTGGAAATTTAACTTATGCTTTAGTGTTTTAGCAAAAGGTGGGACATCTGTCTCTATATAGCCAAGCAGCCAATCAGAGAAGGGTGCCTGGGCTCGCCCACGTCACGCTCTGGGGCTGGGGACAGTGCCTCTTGCAAACAGTTGGCTGCTTCCATTTGCCGGGCACAAGGCTCCACAGGTGCTCCTGACTCGCCTAAGCGGCGCTGGGCTCGCTCGCCCCTGAGCCCAGCAGCGGCCCCCGCAGCCTCCATCGCAGGTGGAGCCCGCAGCTCCTAGAAAGGCTTCCTCCAGCCTCCCCGGCTAATCCCCCTGCCTCTCGGAGGTTTAACTGGATTTACCAGTAGGTCTGGGCTTACCCGGTATTTCCACCTGGCCTCACAATCCCGCATCTTCCTATAGGTGCACCGCAGGGCAGGCCCGGGCTGAGAAACAACACACGGCTTGTCTGTTTCTCTTTGCTGAACCACACACTTTTCCCTTGGTGACTGACCTATATAGAGATGACAGCAGAGACAGTGCCCTTTACTTCATTTTCACGTTTCTTGTTTCTTTAACATACTAGGGTCTAGTTATTTTAAAAGGGTCAAGTCCGTGTCTCAGTGCTGGTTATGTGTCTTTGCATCACCGGGCGGGGCTTGGCAGACAGACCGGAGGAGGGCGCCCGGGTCAGCAGCGCAGCCCCGCGGGCCCTGGGCGGAGGCCCCCAGGTCACTAGTGGGACCAGAGTGCGTGGGCGCCTCCTCCCTACCGGGCAGTGAGGGGGCGCTGCCCTCTGGGCAGCAAAGAAGATGCTGAGAGATCTGAACTTGGGTCTGGGGATGCTGAGGTGGCACCTTTCAAGGCTCAGAGGGGCCAGATACTGGGGAGGCTCTGACAGTCTGGGTAATGCCCACAGGGGAGAGAACTGTCGAGGAGAGTGCCCCAGTGAGGGAGCTTTGGGGGTACAGTGCTCCCTGCCCTGCCTCAGGCCTCTTGTGGGGCCCGAGGTTTTTATAAAAGATCTGTTACTAACCCACGCATTCATGTCTATGTATGTAGTTGGCCTTTTCTTAACCCGCAAATACGATTTTAAAAAATAAGTTTTTCCTCCTAATAGACAGTTTAAGAGCAGTTCTAGGTTTACAGAAAATTTCACAGGAGTACAGAGAAGTCCCATGTACCCCCCGAGCCTCCTCCCTCAGTTTCCCTGATTATTAAGGCCTTGCGGCAGGTGGCGCATTTGCTACATTGGAGGAACTGATATTGATACATTGTTACTAAGGTTCACTGTAGCTTCGGCTCCTCACGGTCATTTCCGGGGTGCGTTCTGATGCGTGCAGACTGAGCAGGGCAGGTGGACGTGGCTGTGAACCCCTCTGGCTCCCCCTCGCCTGCGCAAGCCCGACATTTCTGTGGGGTGTGGCGCTCTCTAGGTGGTGTTAGCCGCCACCTCTGTCCACGTGTGGCAAAGAGCCAGGCTCCAGCCCCAGGGGCCCTGACTTGGACCTAAGATGGGAGTCTCTCACCCCAAGGAGAGGCCATTCCCTGGGCAGACCAGGGTCCTCGCCATCCTTGCAATGAACTTGAGAGAGGATGCTTTCCCTGGACTGAGCGCACTTTCACTGTTCATGTTCAACTCGGCCTATTCACATGCAAAAACGTTCATTACCAGACATTCCGTGTAATTGTGAAACTGACCCCATCCTTTGCGGGCAGCGGGACGCTCCTGATTTATGGAGCCTTTTTTGGCAACAGAATCCTCACCACTCTTCAAGGACAGTCTCAAGTGAACTAATTTTAATTAGATAAACTATCCAATCAATATGTGAACAGATCAATCAAAACAGCAGCTTTAAAATGAGTGGCCAGAGGGGTGTTTCCGAAGCTAATGGGTAGAAGAGTATTTCTCTGAATTGAATTCACTTGTTAGCATAATAGGAGATTAAACTGTAATTAGGGTAGCAGGTTTTCAAGAGATGCAATCTCCAGTCAAAACAAAA